GGGATGGCGAGGGAGAGCATCTTGGCCTGCAGTAGGTCCACCGCGCCGAGTTATACATCATCGCAGATCTGGATCGCCCGTGACGCCGTGACGCAATCCCAAATTAATTCCCCATCTCCTTCCGGCCCTTCCACGCAGAACCTTCCACACAGGTCACGATCCCGCCCACCGTTATCACCCACCACGCCCCCCGCCAGATCCACGCCAGATCCCGTCCCCGCAAATCCATCCCGCCTCCCAGATCGGGCCACTTGCTTCCGCGCAATCAAGATAAACAACTCTAATCCTCCCCATTTTCTGGTTAAATTACTCCTCCCGCGAGCCTGATATTTGATAGGAATGCCTCGGCAAGCCCTCTTCCGTCTCTCCTTTGTCTTGAACCCCGAGAGCCACTTGTCCTTGCCCCGCGAGCGGATCGCGTTCGTTGCTACTCAAGAATTCATCAAAGTCTCATCCGGTCCCTCCACCCGTGTAAAATTTCCAACAAATCCACTCCACTCCACGGACCCGGACATAAGCTTCCTCAAGTCTCTCTCTCTCTATTCTATCAAGAAGTGGGCTGAGGACCACCCCCGTGCTCAACTATCATGACAAACCCAATATCACAACCCCCGGTCTGCCAGCCAATCACCTCGCATCCTTTGACTGCTCAAAGGACAGTTCAACGGGGAAATCCACCAAAGCGACTAAATAAAAAATAAAGAAAAAAAAGAAGCCGCTGCTGTCAAGTAAGTACGTCTTCGTCCTCACCCTGAACCACATACCGAGCCTCCTCCCGCTTACGTCGGATCTCGCTCTCTCGTTCGTTGCTGCAAGTCTTTGGGTATGGGGTCTGATGTCCTCGATCTCATTTCATTCGTTCGATTTCGAAGGCCCGTACGTTCGTTCGTTGATCATGATCAACAGACAGACATGATGACTTGACGTGATGAGTCGAAGCAACTTGCTAATTGTTTGGTGTTTGGGGCGTCTAGAGCTCGTTTGTTCCGAACCCGATGCAGATGCGCACGTCTCTCTCGATTCAGATGGGGCCCGTCATGTCCATGTATGTCCATTGCTGGGCGTCGATGAGCATACGCTCTGGAATTAGAACACCATCACCATAAGCATCACGTCGACCGAAATGGGATTTTGACATTTTGTCTTGTCAAAAAGCGAATGTCAAGCGGGGTGATATGCTTTTTCGAAGCACGCGCCGACTTTCATTGCATTATGTGCAAACTTGGTAGGTCTAGGCCTGTCTGTGAAGGTAATTCTCAAGTGGAATCGACGCGTCGTATACTGTTCTCCCCGTCATTCGCGTCTCGCGCCTCCTTCACCCACCCACCCCAACCCAGTAACTCCTACCAAGAAAGGCGACACGGCGCGTCAATCTCCGTCCACCTCCGACCCCCGACGCGACGCGCATTCACCTGCTTCCATCCGGAAATACCGTCATACGCGAGGCTGCTTCTTCACTTTGACCCGACGACACTCAGCCGACGCTGCCCAGTCGAACAACCCTAAGCGCTAGCGCGTCATCAACGTCATATATCACCGGCACTGCTCTTTCTTCGCGTCTTTCACGCGAAGTGCACGGATTTACACAGTACACGCGTGTCCACGTCTGAGTCAGGTTTCACGCCTCTTCTTCACTCACTCGAGTGACAAGCAAAATCTCCTCGAGTCTGGGTCTCTCCCAACCTCCTCCCAAGTCCAACCCCAACCCCAACGAGAGGAGATCCGCCACCCGCCTCGCCTCGCGAGTCACGAATCTAGCCATGCCATGGGTGCAGTTTCCAATTTATGACAACAAAATTGGCGACGATGTCATGATGCACAAGATTGAAGTGATGATGCGCATGATCGGGCCCCGCCGGGACCTACAAGCGAGCTTAATTAATTGCCTTGCCTTGCTCTGCTGGACCGGGAACACGAGTGACGATTTGTTTGTTGGAAATGTTTTCCGGCTCCCGAGTCCTTGGCGTGTGCATCATCGTGTTCTCGGAAGGAAGGAAAGAAAGAAGGCAGACGCGAATCGGGCGCTCGCTGTGTTTGAATTTCGCAGAATTTCGGTCCAGAAGCACTTGACGCTGAGAAGCGCGCCGCCCCGTCATTCGGAGAACGGAAGACGAAAGACGGAAGACGGGCTCGGAAGATGCGTCTGACGGTCTGGGCTCTGGACATAAGGAAGAGCGGAATTAAACATAACCCCATTACTTACACGGGGATCTGCGAGGCGAGTGAAGTGATACTGAAGAACGGGCATGAGACCAGTGATACTGAAGAACGGGCATGAGAGACCGCGATATGCGGAAGACGTTTGGGCATCTCACCTCTCGAAGCCGAGTTCTCAGCAACTTGATAGAGCGCAGAATGCGCAGCTCGGCGCGCTCGAATTCTCATCCCCAATCACCCAACGTCATGACAGTGATATCCCAGCTACTAGCGCGTCGCGGACGTCACGATCATGAGACGCACTATCCCCCTCTCGGACTCGAGATACACATGCCGTCCACGAACATACCCACGCAAAGCCTAAAACGCGTCTGCCACCACATGCGAACGCACCACAAACGACGCGTCCATCGCACCACGGGAACGCGTCTATCCCTTCTCTCCGCACCCACGGGCGCGCGGTTCAACAAGGAAAGAGCCAAAACAGTCAAAAGTGGACCGACTGGTGACTTCTCTCCATGAATTCACGGAGGATATCATTGGAGGCCCACCTGAAACAAATGCCTCCAGTCATCGCGAAGCGCGTTGCCCTCCCTCCCGACGACATCGTCGCGACCGGGCTCCCAGGGTGCCGAAGGAAGAACATACGGGTGTGATATGATGATGATCTTCCATAATCCAGATCCCGCCCGCCCAGCCACTCGGAGTCGGCATCGGCTGCTTTACGCGATGCGCGATTAGATTTAGTATGCACGCCGGGCGCAATAACGCCTGCCTACTGGGCACGAAGAAGCACGAGAAGCCGCCCGCCCGCTTGCCTTATTCGCTGAGAGCTTGACGCGAACGTGACATCGGTGCATTGCGCAGATGGGTATGTGGTGCAGGCAATGACAGGAAGAAGCAGGCAGACAGAGAAGAATGTATCAATGGGGTATTTCACCATTTGGGGTATATGCGTACTGCCGTATTGCGCTGCGCTTCTTTCCGCGTTTGTGATTATTGCGCATTTGGCGGGGCGGCGGGGATGAAGGCTTCGAATTCCAAGAAAACATACGGGCTCGGAAGGTGTTGGTTCATTCATTCAGCGTTGGACAGGCAGGCATCCAGTTTTTAGGAAGCTTCATCGTTATGCAGTGGTAAACCATTCAGTGTCTATTCTGCAAGCTCATATTGAACCCCCTAATCCATTTGCTTCTTTGCTTCTTCCTTACTTTAACTTTTTCGTTACATACATGCACCCCGCTGTCTGACATAAGTCCAATTCCGAGTATGCTGTACGGGTATATTTTCTATCATACAGAAGCCCATTGCAAGAAGGTTCGCGCCCGTTCTGAGGGAATCACAAGAACTCCTTCTCCGAGCGCCCTTCCTCCGAACCCGGTCGTCTGAAAGTTCAAGTTGTTAAGCTAACTTCAACTTCGAAGTTCGGAATGTTGATGATAGTTTCGACGTTTATTGCGTTTGTGGGATCCTCCCTTCCGCATTCGAGCTTATTTACTGCTCCTTCCGAAGACCTTCGAAACCTTCCCTCCGTCTCCCCAGGAGTCACGAAACGAGAATCAGGAATAAACAATAATAACATAAAAGCTTCTCATCCTCAGCGGGCGGTTCCCATCATCAAAATAGAACTAATAGAACTCTGCAGAATTGGGGCGAACGGAGCAACACCGCTCCACCACCGTGTATTCTTTTTTGTTTCTCTCTTCGTGCATTCCCTTGCCTTGAGGATCCCGTGGACAAATTCAAGCCGAAGGCGGCCTCGGGAAGACACGCGCTCCTCACCAGCAAGGCGCGCTCCGTGGAACGTAAGAGCGCACAGGGCCGTAAGGATCGATTTACCGTTTTGTCGCTCTTTCCTTTCCGTTCTTCTTTCCCCAGCCAGTGCAGGCCCCCAGACCCTGGTGCATCAGGGTAAGGTAGGACCCTTTCAAAACCCTACGTCTCGCACTTCTTTTTTCATCTCTGCTTTCAGTGCGAATTCAGAGAAAGGCTCAAAGTTCAAGCAAAGTTCCGAACGCGTACGTTCCCTATGTACGTGCCAACGCATCTGCCCCTTACGATTCTCGCGCCTGGATCCCGCATAGATCGGGCGCTGCACGACTGGTGCACCATGAGATCGGGGTGGATCATGAGTGAAGGGCTTATCACGATGCACTCCTACTGATCACGCATATGCTGGCTATCTCATATCGGCCTCTACGTACGTCAGGCCGTAGCAGGGTGAACGCAAACCCCAGAGGCTATGTACTTTACACAGAGCGAGCCCGGGGATTTTCGCGGTGTTCGAAATTGCGTTTTGATATGTGGTCGCGCCAATGAAAGTGCAATCATCGGATGATGTACATCCTCATGCCGTTTGTATTGTTGGACGTCTGCTGGATGGGGTTGAGGAGGTCATCGGTGGTATTTGGGTGTTCGGGAATGGGAATTAGGAAACAGAGAATCAGGATTAATGGGTAGGATGGGGAAGGGATGTGTGTACACCCAGGGTGATGGGTGGGGCGTACGTATAGGGGTGCGCACTGCCCTCTGGAATTGGAACTGTATACAAGTACGGTCACGGTGGATAGACGGCGTACGTATACGCCCTCTTCTCCTCGAGCCCCATATGTCCTTCCCTTAGAGACACACAAATGTCAATGAGCACCCTGACACGATCGTGATCAAAGTTATGTACACTGTGGGCCCGGTAACTTGACGTCGAGTTTGCGTCTGCGTGTGCGGTCGTATCTCT